TCTACTAGGGCTAGTCACTTAAGGGCGAACCTAAGGCCTGAAGCTTCTACTGCCTATTCACTTAAGGGCGAACCTAAGGTCTGAAGCTTCTATTGCCTAGTCACCTAAAGGCGAACCTAAGGTATTCTACCCTCAAATCAGAAGCTTCAGATCTCAAGGCCGCACTGCTACACCCCTACAACCCTCCAAACTGGCTTTCTACTAGGGCTAGTCACTTAAGGGCGAACCTAAGGTCTGAAGCTTCTACTGCCTAGTCACTTAAGGGCGAACCTAAGGTCTTACCCCCTTATTCAAGAAGCTCCCCTAGACACCTACAACCCTCCTACCTGGCTTTCTACTAGGGCTAGTCACTTAAAGGGCGAACCTACGGTCTGAAGCTTCTACCGCCTAGTCTCTTAAGGGCGAACCTAGGTCTTACCCCCTTAATCTAGAAGCTCCAGAGCCCAAAGCCGCACCCCTAGACACCTACAATCCTCCTACCTGGCTTCCTGGGGCTAGTCACTTAAAGGGCGAACCTAAGGTCTGAAGCTTCTACTGCCTAGTCACTTAAGGGCGAACTTAAAGTCTTAACGTTAAACCAGAAGCTCCAGAACCCCAAAGCCGACCCGCTACTCACTCACCTACCAGGCCCTCAACTGGCTTTATCTTCTTCTCTCCTCTTTCTCTTTCTATTTCTTCTATTCTCTTCTATTCTCTTCTCTTCGTATCTCTCTCTGACTCTTCTCGGAATTTTCCTTCTCTATTTCTCTTTCTTCTTCTATCTCTCTTCCTCTTCTTGATTGCTTTCTCTTTTCTCTATTCTACTTCTTGTCTGGGGGGGGGCCCCCCCCCCCCCCCTTTCTTTGCTCTTCTTCTTTCTCCTTTTCTGACTTCTTCTCTCTTACTCCCCTTTCTTTCTTCTACTAGGGCTAGTCACTTAAGGGCGAACCTAAGGTCTGAAGCTTCTATTGCCTAGTCACCTAAAGGCGAACCTAAGGTATTTTACCCTCAAATCAGAAGCTTCAGATCTCAAGGCTGCACTGCTACACCCCTACAACCCTCCAAACTGGCTTTCTACTAGGGCTAGTTACTTAAGGGCGAACCTAAGGTCTGAAGCTTCTACTGCCTAGTCACTTAAGGGCGAACCTAAGGTCTTAATCTAGAAGCTCCAGAGCCCAAAGCCGCACCCCTAGACACCTACAACCCCCCTACCTGGCTTCCTGGGGCTAGTCACTTAAAGGGCGAACCTAAGGCCTGAAGCTTCTATTGCCTAGTCACTTAAGGGCGAACTTAAAGTCTTAACCCGTTAAACCAGAAGCTCCAGACCCCAAAGCCGACCCGCTACTCACTCACCTACAGCCCTCCAAACTGGCTTTCTACTAGGGCTAGTCACTTAAGGGCGAACCTAAGGTCTGAAGTTTCTACTGCCTAGTCACTTAAGGGAGAAGCTAAGGTCTTACCCCCTTATTCAAGAAGCTCCAGAGCCCAAGGCCGCACAGCTACACAGCTACAAACCCACCCAAAATTGCAACAGCGTACCTGGCCTCTAAGGCTGCCTTCTGGGAGGCCTTCATTAATAGGTCCCTGCCAATTTTTTAGAAGTTAAAGCCAACGATCAGGTATATAATTTCGATTTACCGGGCTGCTTGAGGGTTTAGGGATTTAGGGTTTAGGGTTTAGGGCGTCTCAGCCGCGCGGCAGCAGAAGTTCGAATGCATGGATGGCGCCACCACACACCTGAAGGGTGTGAAGGTGGCGGCATATCGTGGGACGGTGTTTGCATGCTTCTTTGTTGTTGGGCCCTTGGACCTGGGGCGCACACCTTTCTTCCCACCCCTCTCCAAATAGGAGGAAAGCCACCCTATTTTCCACCTTTTAGGGTTTACGGCAAGCCCATAAATTCCCACTTCAATGTTTTATGGCAATCAAGGCATAGCAGCATATCCTAGCCGCCCGTGCAGCGTCCACCGTGCTGAAAGAGAGGAAGGCGCATGCATTGCGTTCCCCATGGCGCGCATGCCAGATTGCGAGCCCGCTCAAGGTCGAGCCGCGCGCGGGATGTCTGTCCCGCTTGGATTGATTGTGGCAGTGAGCGACGAGGCAAGGCGCAGAAAAAATTGATGCTGTCACATGGACACACACAGGATCCGCAAGCAACAAACGCTTGCGGGCGGCAGCCGGCTGGGGAAATGCGAGCCGCCGAAGGCCAACAAAAACAGGAAGAGAGGAAAAGAGGCAGCCAGGCTAGCAGACAGACAGACAAGGCAGCAAAAAAGGACCGAAACCGAGGACCGGAAAGGACCGGAAAACGCAAGGACCGGAAACGACCGGAAGACGGACCGGAAGAGGACCGGAAGCAAAAGCCCGGAAAGGACCGGAATCGTTTTCCGGACCCGGGCCCGGAAGACCGGAACAGGACCGGAAGAGGCAAAACAGCAGGACCGGAAGAGGACCGGAACAATTGTATTTAGTATTGATCGACCTCGTGCCCGCCCTTGCCGGCGCTCAGCGCCGAGACCGTTTCGAACCGTCCCGTTTTCACAGAAACCTAGTCTAGTAAGAGTCATTCGCGGGCCCCGCGGCGTGCTGATCCGAGCACGTCGGTCCAAGAGAGGTCAGGCGTTACATGGGTGGCTCGATAGACCCGTATGCTGGACCAGTCTCTCCTCCGGTCTGGACGGGATGTAGCGAACGCTCCGCAAGGCCCGTGCTAATAGTAATTGTAGCGTCCTCCCCTTCGTCCGGGTGCCCGTCGGGAAGCCTCCAAAAAAGACTTGTTTTGCTGGTGCTTTGGGTTTTCCACTGCCTTTCTGGGCGCCAACACGTCCAGTGAATAGCAGGTGTAGCCGCCCATTTCCAGAGGCTAAGGAATAGACATTAGAAGACAGGGGGCTCTGAAGAAACGCAGAGTGGCAGCACATCACGTTTGTAGATTTCTTTTCGGCACCGTGTGCTCAGGTACGGCAGAAAATCGATATTGCTTTGCTTGCGCCCTTGTGCTGCTGAAAGCTCCTTCTGGTGAGGCAATCATCGTTGGAGGCGGGTGGGACAAGATGGCTGCGAAGACACCTGGCGCAGTGGGAGGCACGTAGCCGCAGAGCGATGCTCGATCTGGACGTGGCGGCGCGGCGGTCAAAAAACAGGGAAGGAGATGGAAACAGGGGTCCTTCATGTAAAGCACGTTTGTCACGAGATAGCTTTCTGATACGGATTTGCGCTCTGCTAGAAAAAACCATTGCCTTTCCTTTGATGTTGGAAATTTGGTTGCTGACGCCGACGCAGTAGTGCATTGAATTGGAAACAGGCGGCGCACGCACACACACACGAACAAAACACATGCAATTTTGCGTTAGCTTGCTTCCTCGCCCTGCTGTAGGTTATGTGCTGCTTTGAATTGCGTACTCATGCCGCAGCCATTTGTAGTTCAAGCCACAGGAGCCGGTCTCGCTCGCTCCCGGGGAAAACTTTTCGCCTTGCAGGCAGCCGGTGCTGCTCTCCACGCTTGTGGGCGCGGCGGCGTTTCTTTTGCAACTGTTGCCTGCGAACACTTGGTCTTGCGAATCTTGGTTTTCAATGCCGCGGGCAACATCTCTATGAGCCTTTTCTGGTCGCTACGTGCTTTCGTCCGCTTCTCCGTTTCCTTGCTCGGCTTTGCATTGCGCAGTGCGCGTGGCAGCTTCTTCGCATATACAGTTGAAGAGTCTGCAAAAGAGCCGTCGCCTCCAGAAGATGCATCTCAAGCGGGTACTGGCGCGGGGCGTGAAAGGCCACCTTCCCAACGGCTTCCTGCACTTCTGGGCTCATGGACTGCAGGACCGGCGCGAAAGTAGCGAGTGCTTCTTTGCTTGCTGCCTTGCTTCGCTCTTCGTCCTTTCCGATGTTCAGGGTTCGGACGGCTTCCTCGAAACGGCTATTTGTTGTGAGCAACTTTTCGCTGGCTGCGTCCTCGGACGCCATGGTCCCACAGGCAGACCGGACAGACAGACAGACAAGCAGACAGACAGACAGACAGACAGAAAAAGCTAGACAAAGACAGCAAGGCACACAGGCAAACAGGTAGGCAGCCACACAGGCAGACAGACACACAAGGCAAGCACAAAAGGGACCGAAAACGAAGACCGGAAAGGACCGGAAAACGCAAGGACCGGAAACGACCGGAAGACGGACCGGAAGAGGACCGGAAGCAAAAGCCCGGAAAGGACCGGAATCGCTTTCCGGACCCGGGACCGGAAAACCGGAACAGGACCGGAAAAGGCAAAACAGCAGGACCGGAAGAGGACCGGAACAATTGTAGTTAGTATTGATCGACCTCGTGCTCGCCCTTGCCGGCGCTCAGCGCCGAAACCGTTTCGAACCGTCCCGTTTTCACAAAAACCTAGTCGAGTAAGAGTCATTCGCGGGCCCCGCGGCGTGCTGATCCGAGCACGTCGGTCCAAGAGAGGTCAGGCGTTACATGGGTGGCTCGATAGGCCCGTATGCTGGACCAATCTCTCCTCCGGTCTGGACGGGATGTAGCGAACGCTCCGCAAGGCCCGTGCTAATAGTAATTGTAGCGTCCTCCCCCTTTGTCCGGGTGCCCGTCGGGAAGCTCTGAGCCACGCGCACCGATCAGCGAACAGCATCGCCCAAGGTAGGCAGTAGAGACCGCAGATGTACAGCAATCGAGTGCCAAGTAAAAGAGAAGAGCATCGTTTTGGAGCAGCGCCTTGCGTTGCGCGTCTTGTTCATCTGTCTCCGCAGCATTGGCACGGTTAGGCTTGCTCATGTATGCAGTGGCGCCGCAGCCGTTTTCAGTTCAATTCGTATCGCGTACCCGAGCCACTGGCACGTCAAGGCGGGCACGCTGCTGCAGCTTCTGCCTGTGTTTCGCTTTGCGCAGAAAGGATTCATGAAACCATTTGAGCCTGAATCCTGCATTTGCTGCTCTCTGTTTGTTCTGCATCAGGTTGGTGGATTCGCGCAGTCTTGCCAGCGAGGCTCGTCAACAGGGTTGTTTTGTGTCCACGCCAGCACGAACGAACATGCAGACCACCGGGCGTTGCTTTGCACACCGTTGCCCCGAAACACCTCCGTCGCAGGCGATGGCACCAAAGTCGCAGCAGCCGAAGAAGGCGACGCCTTTCAGCACGGGGGCGCGTGTGTATTCATTCAGTTGCCGTCTGTTGTCCAAGGACTTGCTCCCCGATTGTGCGGTTGTTTTGGGGCAGACCTGCAGACTTGCATCCTCCGAGGCATCAAAGAAGGAAGGGCCCAAGGCAGAAGCAGGCGGGCCACCGATGAAGCGACCAGCCTGCTGCAGCGAGCGCGCTGCAAGCAGCTCCGCGATGCCCGGCAGAAGCGACACGGAGGTCAGGCCCCCAGCACTGCGCGCAACGGTGTTTGGGCAAAGCTTGTGGCAAAGTTTTCCGGTGGGTTGGGGGCAGCGCCAGGAGATTCCAAAGAAGCCGGAGGGAAAGAGTGCCTATGGCGCAGCACAAAGATTTGTCCGCGGTCTTTGGGAACAAGGGTTGATGGAGGACCAGGCAGGGAAGAATACCAAAGCGCCCCCTGCAAAGTACAAGACACGGATTCGCTGGCATTTCCGGCCGGGTGCGGCAGCAATTGAAAGATTATGGATACAAAGCCGGGCGCATCTCGCAGCTCATCAAGCTCACCCGCCCAGCTGCCGCAGAGACCGTGGAGGAGGGGCCCTTGCAGATTGTGCAGAACCTGTGGGAGCAAGGTCTCTCGGAAGCCGAGGCCGGTAGACACGCACAGTTATATGCAGGTATGTTTGTGTGAGCCGCACGGGTACGGAATGTTCAGAGGCAAACGCCTTGCTCACTGCAGGTACGGCGCGAACTGAAACAGGAAGGCTTCGATGCGAAGCGCATTGCGGAACTCATCGTGCAGACGCGCCCTGCTGCGCTTGCCCAGGACCCGGAGAATTTCTTGGAAGAGTTGGAGACGGCCTTGGATGCCATGGACACGGCTGCAGGAGAGGCAACCCCCTTGACAGAAGAGCAGCAGATTCAAGAAGTGTTGGCAGAATGGGAGTTCGAGGCATGCCGTGGCATCGAAGCAGGGCCGCAGGTCTTGCAGCCGGATGTGCTGCCGTCACCGAGCAACAAGGACCCACAGCAGCAAGCAGAAGAAGAAGAAGAAAACAAAGAAGACGAAGAAGCACTTGGCGATGCCGCTGAAGAGGAGGAGCCTGCAGAACCGAAGGCAAAGCGGGCGCGCGTAACAGCCAGGATGTGCCCTGGCCGCTCGAGGGCACAGCTCTGTGTGTTCAGTCAGCGCCCAGATCAGTTGGGCAGCCCGGTGATGCTGGGTGCGGGCAAGAGGAAGTGTCAGCTGTGCGACCCCGTAGCTCTGGAAGCAGT